ACAACTTTATGACTATTTGAGTAAGGAGTGGGGGGGGGGGGGGGGGGGGGGGGGGAATTAGAGTTTTTTTACCCCCTAGGAAATTTTAACCCCTTTCAAAAATTTAATATATTACTCCCTTCATGATCAAATCATGGGGTTTAGTTGGGTGGGTTTCATTTCAATTTTTCCATAATTTCTGGCAATAACAAACTCATCAAATGTCCTTTATATTTGAAGGGACTGTGGTAAGTGACCTTACATACAGAGATGACAATGCTCGATTCCAATGGTACCCTTGAAACCTTTATCTAATCAATAATGGGGAAGATTTTTTTTATATTTTTCAAACATTCTGAAAATAGAAATGCGCAAATCACTTTTGAAGACAACTCACAATTAAAAATAATTAGTTTTAAAAATTATAAACATTGATATCTAAATCATGCTTGATCAGGTTACTGTTAATGGTACTGACACTGTTATGAATCGGGTATTTCCATCTACAGGGTGTCCCAAAAAACATGGGAATTCAGTGACGAATTCGATATCGTCTTTTCAGATAATTCTTTGATTTAGTATAGTGATACCTACTGAGAAAGCTGTAATCTGTAAGAGTTTCGTCTGCTATGTTTACATTTTGTTTGTTTATGTTTTGACTGCAACCGGTTGTACTTAGTAAAACAAGAAAATTACAGTATACAAACAGAGTAAACTGTCCGAATTCACTGTTCATCTTGGGAGACATTATAGACACATCTTTGCAGTCTTTTACCCTTTTCATTAAATAAACTCTAGCAGACATAATAATAATGGCTTTTGAAATTAGGTATTACAATGCTAATTCATAACTAAGACGATATCGAATTCGTCACTGAATTCCCATGTTTTTTGGGACACCCTGTATGCAAGGGGGGTCAATACAAATTACGCTTACAGTCCCTTTAATTCCTTTTATCACACTAACCACAGTTATGTTATCCAATAAAAACTTAATGGATTTATTTTGATCATTACATTTACATATATTATATTTTTTTATTTACTCTTTGGAGGAAAATTAAACGATGTCATGATTTAAAACTTTACACTTATAATCCATAATCTTGATTAACTTTAAACTTTACAATTATAATCTTGATCTTTAAACTTTACAATTATAATCGATCTTGATTTTTAAACCTTACTCTTATAATCTTGATCTTTAAACTTTACAATTATAATCTTGATTTTAAACTTTACAATTTTGATCTTTTAACTTTACAATCTTGATTCTAAAATTTACAATCTTGACCTTTACACTTTAAAATTTTAATTTTAAACTTTACAATCTTGATCTTTAAATTTTGCAATCTTGATTTTAAACTTTCAATCTAGATATTTAAACTTTACAATCTTAATCTTTAAACTTTATATTCCTCATATCTTTAAACTTTATAGTCACGACTTTTCAACTATATAATCTTCATCTTTGAACCTTGATCTTACACATTTTTTAAAAAGTTGTTTAAAGCAAAATAATTAATTGGGAAAGATTTTTTTGGGGGGTAATCCCTGCAATCGTTACAGTGAAGATTTTACATAGGATTTTAGTCAGAGGGGGGGCAAGTTTTCGCGCAAAGCGCCGACATTTTTGCCCCCCTCTGGCCTTAAAAATGCTGTTATTCTATATTAAGTCTACTACATGTTTCCTATGTAGTCCATTGTAGTCACAATTAAAGGACTATCATGTATCCCTCTGTATAGTTTTGTATTACTCTCTGAAGTCCTGAGTAGTCCCTTTGTAGTCCACTGTAGTCCCGATTGAAGGACTATATATTGTATTGTATTCCTCTGTATTATTCTCTCAAGTCCTGAGTAGTCTCCTCTGACTACTTCCCTTTTTAGTCTACAGACTATATTATTATGTAACCCTTTGTATTTGCGGGAAGACATGCCAAATACTTGCATAATGCATTGCATATAGCTACAGTTGTTTAATAAGTAAGAGAGGGGGGGTAGATTTTAGATTAAAGGGAAAAACTTGCGTAAAACCATGCAGTTTTGCGCTAATTGCGCAAAACTAAAATTTCATTTCATGTGCTGCAACTTTCGCTAAAAATATTTCCGGTTTTGCGCAATTTGCGCAAAAAAATAGCGCTAAACCGCTAAAAACTCATTGCGTTTCATGCGCAAAAATAGCGCAAAAATTCGTTAAAAAAAATTGCGCGAAAATAACGCAAATTATGCGCAAAAGATTTAGCCATTTCGTGGAAACCCTATTTGTAACGTTCAAATGCGGATCTGCACCTAAATCCCTGCAGGGGGGCAGGGCCCTCCGGATGCCCAAGGGGGGCAAGAGGACTAATGCTCCCCCTCTGTGCGCGCCTGCATGTCCAATATATATGTTAGAATGATATGCCCTTATAAGTGCAAATGAACATTTCAACATTGAAAATTGTTCAAACACACTGCTTTCACTCATCGGGGGGGGCTGATCCACCATGCCCCCCATGTATACGCCTCTGGTCCTGGAGACAATCCTACATCTTACTGCGTATTAAGCTATTAAAGTTTCTCTTTACGATGCTTCTGAAGCTGCATGTAGCTGCATTTATTCTTAATCTGGGAATTCATCAACTAAGACGACATTCAAACATGTTTTCCCCAATGTGCCGCAAATTTATCAAAAATATTTTGATACTTTCAGCCGGTGAAACGATTTGAATGATTTCGATCAACATATTTGAAACTAGAATCATATAACACAATTCAGATTGCTGATTTGTATAAATTTATTGCCAAGATTGTATAAATTGGAAGATATAAAGACGACTTAACCTAAAAATTTCTTATTTAAGTTGGGTTTCCGGCACCGACCAATGTGGCTTTAGAGAGAGGAAGAGAGAGAGAGAGAGAGAGAGAGAGAGATGGATTGATATAGAGAAGAGAGAGAGAGAGAGTGTGTGTGTGGACTGTGGACTGGAGAGAAGAGAGACTGGGGACTCGACGGGAGTCGAATCAAAATCTTATTGTTGACAAATTTTGGCCTCGTGGCAAATTTTTAATTAAGATTTTAATCTCGCTTTTTTTTACATCGTTCATAAAGTTATGAAAGAATTTTCCAAGAGTGTTTTTTTTTAATTTTAGAAGCATGCTCCGGTCCAGACATGTGTACACTTACTTTATAAATACAAACTAAAAGCTGTCGAAGTTTTATATTTGCTGATTATTGATCATTTCCTTTTTTATGAATATATCCTATCTGCTATTTTTTAGATGAAATTGCAATTTAAATAAATTCTCACTTTTATAAGATTTAACTTGCGTAACAGTTTAATATTCCCCTCTTTTACCCTTTCCACTTATATTTTGACATATTAATAATTAATTAAGTTTATTAATATTGCAGTCAATGTGGTCAGAAATTTGGTGGTCAGTTGTCTTTAATATTTTCAAATTGAAAAAAGTTGGGTAATTTCCTAGTATACGATTTTTGGACCCCCCCCCCTTTCTCTCTTATAATTTTAATTGTTTCGAAGAAGATATACAGCTGGACCCATTTAACTAAAGAATAGAAAAACCGTTTTAATGAACACGAATCAATGATATGTGCAATATACACAGACCCAATTCATGTACTGGATTTACTATTTATTTTTAACACTGTATTTGCTTTTAAAGACTTGCTTTAATACTGTTCACCTATTTAACAGTTTTATGGCCCCATTGTACTTTAATTTTTGATATTTTAACAATAAGTTAAATATGATATTTCAGAAGAATGAGTACGGACAAGATCTCTGTATGGGAGAGTAGCTGGTCTGGTGGAGACACCTCCTGGCACCTTCAGGAGACAAATGACAGACTTCTCGCTAACATGAACGAGCTGACAGGCTGTGCTGAACACGGTGATAATGTGAAAAAGAGCATCTTTGTCCCACTGTGTGGTAAAACCAAGGACATGATTTACCTACACGGATTGGGACACACTGTGGCTGGATGTGAGTGGGTTGAGTCTGCTTGTATACAGTTCTTTACTGAAAACAGTATAGCGTATACTAGAACACCCCTGGAGAATGTGGAAGGGTTCCTATACCAGGTACGCATAGAGTAAAACCAAGGGAGGGAGGGAGAATTTTAATCAATTTTTTATCAATTCTTATCCAGTCATGTATTACCATTATGTATTCATTCAAAATTTGTTCAGCCCTCTTAAAAATCGATTTTACTCCCACAGATGTTATTTTATTATGATTTTTTAATAACTTTTTTGATGGAAAACTCTGTTAGGTAAATTTCCGTATGTTTCCTCTAAGCATCGAAAAGGGTCATAATTTTTGAAATACTTTCGCCTGCATATTCTTGATGTCATTTCATTTATCTTAATTTACATAGTATTTTTATCTCTTCTACTGAGAACAGATCCTTGCACAGTGCTTAGGATCCATTTAACAAAAAATAATTTTATTTTTTATTCTTTATTTTTTTCGCTTATTTTTATCCTAAAACTTGATGAACTTTTCAGAAATGAGGAAATTTTTATATTCTCTTTTTTCAAAAATTCAGATTTGGGTTGTTTGAGTAAAATAATTTTTTTTGCAGTTTTTGGTTGATATTTTACCCCATTGGATCCGGATACAGGAAGCCAATATCTTGCGGATCCAGCGGATCCGGATCCTAAGCACTGTCTCTGCATAATCCGAATGTTTTGTGAATATTCCAAGAGAGGGGTGTTTATAAGCTTGCAAGTTTTATCCCAGAAAATCATTCTCCCCCAGCACTCCTACCTGACAAGTTTTGTATTTACAATGTTTGGATATGTATTAGTAGTGTCTAGCTTTTAGTAACCTTATACTTGCTGAACTACTGAAATTTTATCCGTAATATATTAATGAACGAGGTGGACGTTATTCTTTAATTGTTTTATCCTTCTTCATTTACCAAAAAGTTCTCCGTAGATTGGGGGGAAGGGTTGTAATTTGATAATTAACAAGGAGGTAGGTTGCATTATTAACTATTTTTTATATTTTTTTTCTTAATTCATAATTTTTATCTTTTTAACACAAATCGCACATCTTCAAGTCATGTCAAGTAATTAAGGTTGAACTGATGTTATTATATTAAAAGAAAAAATACATTTGGGGGAAATTACAGGGGAGGGGGACGGTTAATTTTGTTAAATACCCCCGTTGGGTTCATCTCATCTTTTTAAATTTTACTTCGTTACATTAATTTACAAAATTTAAATATTTTTGTTTAGTCTGAAGATGGAAGATTACGAGTATATCAATGCGACTTCCTGCTGCTCACTAGCGACGTTGTCGACATCAAGTTCGATGCAGTTTGGGACGTTCAAGCCCTTGTCTCCATCAACCCCAGGGACAGGAAGCAGTACGTCAGAGCAGTCAGATCCCTCCTAAAGGTAAGACCAACTTTTTAAAAGAAATTGAAACGTGAACAATAAATTTTCTAACCGTTAACAAGGATATCTCAATATTTTTGATTAACTTGAAGAGAATAAAGAATCGTTCTGAGTCGCTGAAGCGGGCAATGAATTTTGCTATTTTTTCTGGGTTTGGTGTAGTATTTTAAGTCGATGAATTTTGTTCAAGATATTTTTTCCTTTAAAGTGAAAGGGTGTTCCATTTTCAAATATTTTTTTTGATATTCTTGTTTTTCGTTTGCTTATTTAAATACTCTGAGCACAAAATACATACAAACAAAATTCTGTGATAATTTCTACAGCTTATATGTAGATCTTGACTTTTTTTGACGGACACATTGCAAAGGGCGAAAATCTAGAAAAACGCCCATTTTTTACAAAACTGAACACCACAATTGTTTTTAATTGTTCCATGTTGGATACCATTTCTTATCTTATCTATTTTTTCTTGAAATAACAATTTAAAACTGTAGTTTGTACTGATTCTAATCAATATTTTCAGGATGAATTCCGGTACCTATTAGTAACCATAGAATACGAACCCTTTGCGCATCTTGGTCGACCCCACTCCATATCATACAATGCAGTCAAAGAATTATTCGGTAAGCACCACTAACAGGGGTATATATTATCTTAAAAATTGACTCCTCTTTAATATCTCTCCCCCGACCTTAGTGGTGTTTATTTTAAAATGAATTTAATAGCTCTGGGGTAACAATTAAATTTTCCGAAGAAGGGGGAGGGGGTAGATTATATTTTTCTGGACAATTTACAACCCTGCCCTCCATCAATTTTTGGTGCCTTATTGCTGAATTGGTCGTATACTAGGCAAATACAGGGTATTCTGGGTTTTTAGGGTTTTTGACTTGGCATAAAAAAAGTATATGGTGTTGTTTTATGATGGTTTAGTAACAGATTGACATAAAGTTGACAATATTTCATGTAGATTGTAAAATTTCTGGTATATTGTAAATGTAGGGCCTAATAAGAAAATCGAGTTTTTCAAATCTCACCTAAATCCACTATGTAATCTTGAGCTTTTTTCTCTACACAACAAAATTTGATTAGTACATTTTTAAATATCTTTAACTGTAAGTAATTTCAATATACAACTTATTTAAGCTTCCTTTACCAAAACTGCAGGACATTTTTTAAGTTTATGTTTTTACTCTTTATTATTGTTATTCAGGTACAATGATACAACAAGTCTAATTTTGTAACCGTTTTTAATTTTTCTAAGACTATTCTACTCGAACTTTCTACTCATAGATTAAAATTTTTTTTGACCTTAGTTGAAAACTTTATATTAAGAATCAATGTGCGGCAAAGCTATTTGATATTTGAAAAATTAGGAGAGAAGAAAATGCCTAATTTTTTTTTGGATAAATCTGGTTTTTATTCCAGAGATTATCTTTGAAAACTTGAGTAAAAAACTAAATAATTTTTATCTGTGATCTTAACATTAAGAAATGTAGTTTTTAGGGTTAATTTTTTTCCTTCGGAATGAGACATTTTAAACATGATTTTGAGATGGCATATATATGTGAGGACAAAGTCCAGTATTCTGAACAAAATAATAAACAGATTAATGAATGTTCAGGAGTATAGGACAAATTTCAGCATTCTGAACAAAATATTTAACAGACTAATAAAAGTTCAGAAGTAGAGGACACAGTTCAACATTCTGAACACAATATTGAACAGAATATTAGACTTTCATGTTCAGGAGTCGAAGATAGAGTTCAGTATTGGCAGGCCAGGTGGGCCACAGGACAGTCACAGTGGCACAGCGAGAAACCTCATCAATATCTTGTCAAGGTACAATTTTTAGATTTTCTCTAGTTAAAGGGATGTTCACCATTTTAAAATACCGGACTCATGATATACGGGTTTTGAAGTTTGGATCACAACTGAGAACAAAGCTCAGTCAAAATTCGTAGTTTTGCGAAAGTTTGATAGACTGCGAAAATTTGCTCCGGTTATTAAGTGATCATTGGACTGAGTGTTTTTGATTTTCTGGCGGTGAGGAACATCTTTTCAGTTTTATATGTTTAGTTGTGATACTAAATTTGTATTTTGAAGAAGAAAGAAGATGAACAATCCCTTCAATTGTATGTCTTAATATAATTTAATGAAAATTTATTTTCTGATAAGTAGAAACCTCTTATTGGTTTCCTTTGAAAAAAAAACTAAAAGTTCTGAAACTTTCAATTCTTGGAAATTCATCAAGTATAAAAATTATGTAGGTTATTTTTTATATGAAGGGGGGGGTGGGGGTTATTAAAAAATTATTATAGAGGTCTGATTGGTGTTGGGAATACATTTTTTTTTACATATAATGAATATTTTAATTTATAGATCGCACCTTCGGTGCATTTATTTTTGCCAATGATTTTAATGTTTAAAAAAATAAATTTTTTATTTTAATATTTTGTTTAGTACCTTGACCAGCTCGTGACTGGAGATGCCAAGATCCGAATCTTCCTTCCTCTGTGTGGCAAGGCTGGAGACCTCAACTGGCTGTATCAGGCCGGTCACACTGTCCTGGGAGTAGAGGGCGTTCCCTTCGTGGTCGAGCAGTTCTTCAGGGAGAATAAGATTGAGCACGAGAAGACCTCTATGCAGGATATCAACGGATGGAAGTTTCAGGTAGGGTGTTAACAAGATAGGTTTTACTTAACTTTCAAGTCCTCCCCATCCCGCCCCACTTAAAACCTTTCGGGTTTTTTCTTTTGAAAATCTCTGTAAATCAAGTTAAATCATTTTCTGGAAATACTTAAAATAAAAAGTTTTTATATTCTTTAGTTAAATTAAGAATCTTAAAATCTAACTTCTGTTTTTACCTTTTCAGAGTAAAGACGGTAGATTAACCATCTATGCTTGCGATTTCTTCCTGTTAACCCCAGCTATCCTTGGACCCATTGACGCCGTGTACGACCGGGGGGCACTGGAGGCTGTGTCCCCCAACGACAGGATTAACTATGTCCGGGTCATGCAGTCCCTAGTAGGGCCTGAATTCAGGTTAATATTTAGTTATTTATAATTAAATGTTGACACTTAGTTATTTGAATTGGCTTATTAAATTTTCCAAAAAAAACGCAATTTTTTCACATACACTGACCAATTTAAAAAAGAAATCTATAAATAAATCTTCAATATAAATATGTTTCACTTTGAAGGGTAATTCCGAGGAGTTAATATCCGAAAGGAGAATTTCCGAAAAAGTCAAATAAACGGAATTTCTGAAAGAAACACATGCGAAATTTTAGTTTATTCTGTCGAAACTTCTAAAATTGTCTTTAACAAGATGTTTAAAATAAATGTTTCCTAGATACGTGTTGAACACTTATGAGTACGACGACACAATGTTCCAAGGACCTCCCCGTAATATACCGAGGGACGAAGTCTTCAACCTTTTCGGTAGGTTCACCTGCAATATCATTATTCACAAATACAAGTTCATCTTCAATAGCAGTATTTACAAATAAAAGTTTACCTGGGGCGATACAAATATTGACAGTAGTGTGAAAAATGATGATTAGTTTTATTCACTTTCTATTTGAACATTTCGTGGATTTCCATTCATAGCTTTTGTCATGCATAGAATTATTTTTTAGAGGATTAAAGAAAGTATTCACGAAATAGGAACTGGGTTAGATTAGTGAATTAAATGGTGCTTTTTTATTTACATTTATTCTTGGAGATAATTTTCAGAAAGTGCTTTGGATCCGGATCCGTTGGATCCGCAAGATTTTGGCTTCCTGGAGCTGGATCCGCAAAAATATGCGGATCCACGGACCCGGGTCCAAGAAGTTAAATATCGACCAAAAATTTCAAAACGAAAAAAATTGAACCTTAAAACCCAAAAAAAGAGAGATTATAAAAATTTCCTGATTTTTGAATGGCTCACCAAGATTTATCATAAAAATAAGCGATAATTTAATTTTGGTTTATTCCAAAAATACGTTTATTCATATTCATCGTGAATACTTTATTTAACCAATTCGTAATTCGATATTTTTCCAAAAACTTTATTTTGCAAATGTCTGCTTTTGGTCGCCCCAGTGTATGTCATGTCTGTCATGAGCTATTTAGATTTGCTTCTTTCTATCTTCTTTCACCTTTTCTCTACCTAATGCATCCCAACCCCTTTCTTTTATTTGGCATGCATAGAAATCTATCTTAATTTTTCTTTTCCTTATTGTACGATTTTAAAAAATTGTAGTGAAACCATCTTTTTTTTTGTTAATCTGTTGTAAGAACTTGATAAGTAATAAGGTTATAAAAGCAACCTCTTAAAGAGACTGTTGTTGTTTTTCAAGTGTCCCTCCATTAAAAAGGAGTGTGTCCGAATCACAACTGTACCCTTTAAGCCTTTTCAATCAATTAAAAATGTTGAATATGTGGTTGTTCTAGTTTGAAAAGTGTTAATCCTGATAATTGCCTCCTAATATTTCTGTGCGAGAAATGCTGAAGTAACTTTTTTGAGATCATAATTGAAATTTTTAGGGATAAACAAGGATATCTTATTCATCCTTGATCAGACATAACTTAAGAGTACCGTTGTCAATCTGAAATTCCATTTTATTAACGGAGTCACTCGAAATTGCCGAGCACAGTCCTTTTAAAGTTGGCTTTTAATCAATTTCAAATTTGCTCAATTTTCTTCCAAGATCCCCCCCCCCTGTATTTGAACTACTGTAGCCAGCTGGGATTATTGTAGAGGGATCTGTTCGTATCCTGGAGGAAGCAGATTATACGGATTATGGGAAGGAGCATTATAATCTTGATTCTACCATGGTTAAAGTTATTTATATGATAACTCCAAACTAATGTACGTGATCTAATAAACATCAAGTTTTAGCTAATGGAAGTTTTCTATTGGTGAATCGGCACATTTTTGAGTATTTAATGGTTTCATGGGTATATATTTTTCTTGCACTGACAGTCAGGAGTATTATCTTGTTTTTTTTTTAGCACAGGATTAATATATAGTTCTGTTTTTGAATAACATAATATCCTCTAAGCTCTGAAAATGTTGTATAACTGTTATATTCTATTACAAACCTTTGTTTGTATTTATAAATAATGATTGTTCAGTTATCACATGTCTATACAACATTTTGTGTTCTGTTTGGATTAGTGTGAAATCTTATAGATTTTAGATCGAAAAATAATTGAAACTATTAAGTCTAGGGTTTGAAACAAATGTTTATTAAAATCCGGCAAATTTTAAATAGAACTTATGTGCTCGCGTTGTATGAGTTCAACATTTCTCTCATGCCTGGGTAATGTTACGTTATCAGTGAAATCCTTAAATTACTATGCCTAACCCAATCTGAACCAAAATACTAAGAACCTCTCTTTAAACGTTAATACCATGTACTTGTAGTTTTTTGGTTTTAAATAGAAGAAATTCATATTTTAGTAAGGTTGGATTAGGCTAAAAGCATCAAGAGATTTTATCGCTAATAAACAAATAGGTCGGTTTGGTTTAAGTAAATAGGATTTTGTGATGCATGTTTTTGTTTTTCCATTTAGTTTTGTTTCTTTATTTACATGTTTTCCTTAATAGCACTAGACAGAAAAATATTTCTTCTTTGCAAAGTTTCAATGGTTTTTTTCTAAAGTTTATATTCTTTTTTTTTAAATACTTATTAACATAATAATTTCTATTATACTGTTCTACTGTAAAAAATGTCCTTAAAGAAATTTTTGGAATTTTTTTTCCTTGAATTTAAATTAAAATTTTGTTGTCGGCAGTTTGAATGAAATGTTTTACTGCTTAGCAATGCATGGTGGAAGATATGTATATATTAGTTTAATATAATTTGGTCGATTAGTGATCCTGTAAATACTAACCCAAAACCCAGGTCAGTTCAGTAGTTTATCATGCGATTGTATTATACAGGGTGTCCCAATAAACATGGGAATTCAGTGACGAATTCGATATCTCTTTTCAAAAAATTCTTTGATGTAGTATAATGATACCTACTGAGAAAGCTGTAATCTGTTAGAGTTGCATCTGCTATGTTCACATTTTGTTTGTTTATGTTTTGACTGCATACGGTTGTACAACAAGAAAATTGCAGTACACAAACAGAGGAAACTTGTCCGTCTTCACTGTTCATCTTGCGGAGACATTATTGACACATCTTTGCAGCCATTTACCGTTTTCATAAATTAAACTCTAGCAGACATAATTATATTATGGCTTTTGAAATAAGATATTACAATGCTAATTCATAACAAAGACGATATCGAATTAATTCGTCACTGAATTCCCATGTTTTTTGGGACACCCTATATTATCAAAAAAATTAAAATGTTAATTATGACAGGAGCTAGTTTGTAATTTCAAGTGATCCTTCGTTAATCCCAACTTGCCAAGTGTAAAATTTTGGCAAGTTTCTAACTTGAACCAGAATTTATAAATGAATTAAGCTTTTAAGTTATAAACATGGATATCTTATTCATACATGAACGTACAAAGGTTTATAGGGTCAAGGTACGAAATGTCACTAAAAGAAGGGTTACTTGAAATGACGATTCTTGTCCTGAGATTCATTTCTTTTATCGGTCTGACAGGTCAAGTTATCTAAACTTGACTTTATTTTGTAGACAAACAGTAGTAATGCAGCCCAATATTGGGTTCTTCAGATCCAATTCTAAAAGATTATCCTTTTTCTATCAAAACATAACCGTCAACTTTCGAAGAGATTATTAAAACCTGTCGGATTTTTGAAAAGGAATAAAATTTGACTGAAGTAAACAAAACACGAATATACGAAGTAAAAAATGGAAGATATGACTTTTAGCTGGATTTGGATTTGATCCGTCCTTCATTAAACGCTGAGTTAATCTGTTACGTTATGTTTGGACAAAAACTTTTTTTCTGAATATTCTTGATCTAATCTGATTGTATTTCAGCTGATTTCTGTGAGGTTGATATCCTTGAAGAAGAGGACGAATCTGATGCTGCTGCTGACAAGTTTAACCTGGAGTGGATGGTCAAGGTTGTTTATCTGCTGAAACCTGCTCTTCAGTAAACCTGACCTTCCTTAACCTTGTTGCTTGATGCATCTTGAGCAGGAGGAACATTACGGTCAACATCACCTTATATTCAGATTAGTGAACACATGACACAAACTTGTCGTGGACTAAGCACAATGCCTTTGTTCAGATGTTAAGACACTAGATTTAAGTACATAGTTGACTCTCGAGTGTTGTATATCGAATGAATGATTGAATGTACAAGGTTGCTTTGTCGAGGCATTTTTGAGCATTTCTCCCCCGGCTCAAAACTTCTTATACATTGACTGTGATACTTTTATTCATAGCTTCTGTCCACCTCTCTCAGCAAATCAATACTTTAATATCCTAGTTCCACTTTCTGTAGTCCTAGTAGTGCCTTTCTAGACTATTCCTGGTCCCCACCCTCAAATACACATTGGCCGGTCAGATCAGCCTGTGGCGCAGCGGGCCGAGTGTGGAATCTTTTCAATATCGCAGTTCTTGCCATAGGATTCATTTACCTAACTATGATTTTATTTTTTGTTTGAAAATAATATTTCAATGATTTTAATTTTAATTTATTTATGGTGGGTGTGAGGTTTGTGCCAAAATCAAGAAAGATACGGGTAGGGTAGAAGTCTATAGTTTTTTTTTGACCTAAAATATAAAAAAAAACATATATGCTGTTAAATTTGTTGTAATTTTTTCTCCTTAAATTCACCTTACCCGAATCTTTCTCGCTGAATATGTGTATCCTGTTCAATTTTGTATATTTTCAATCTATCCCTTAACTTAAATTCCAACCTAACTCCGCCCTTGGAAGAATCGATTTTCTTGGTTTAAAATGTGATATTCTGTGATTATTTTTTAGCCGGCGTTGAGGTTAAGTCTGGGCATTGATAGACTTCTAGTGAAAGCATTACATCACAAAGCTGCCGGAGCTGGACCTGGTTAAAATGTTTCGGATTTTCTGTTTCCGACATCCGGTGATCTAGGGCTCAATCTAGTGTGATTTATGGCTTTCGGAAATTAGCTGGTATTTTTTTTAAACTCCATTTTTTTTTCTTTAAGTATAATTAATTGTTGAAAACCATATCTCACACTGAAGTTGTAAAAATTAAATTGAGAATGCTTCTTCCCTCCCTTGATATCTGTCATCCATGTACCATATATCTGGATCTTGGAGCTAGGGTTGTAAGCTATGAACTGCACCTGCACACTACATTTAAAATCGTCCGATTTATGTTGTCATTAAAATGAATTAAATTTTTTTTTTCTAAATGAAATCAAGTGAGTCAGTCTATTTATAATAATGTAGGGAAGTACCCCCTAGATGAAGGATTGGAATTGACGCCTTAAGTTATTTTTTATATGAGCGTTAAGTTATTTTTTATATGTATTGGAACTTTCCAACAGTCCTAAACAATTGTGGAATTAGGTTTTTTATTGAACTCTATCCTAAATATATTTAATCCAAATAAAACCTTAACAGTAAACATAGAATAGTTTTCGGTCGGTATGTTTCCACCTGTAGATGATGGGTTGATGAGAGTTATTAATTACACCCTTGTTCAAGATATCCAGATCTAGTTTCTAGTTGAAATGTAAATATTTTTACTTAGTTCACCATTGCTCCCTCCTAATCTGTTACTGTTGTTTATAGTACAGTGAACATGTTTCCTTAGCAATACACTAGTATTGTTCTCATTACTGTACAGTGTACATGTTTCGTCTGCAGTACAGATATATGGTTTTATAACCTGTATATGTCCCTTTGCAGTACATTATTAAGGTTCTAAACCTGTATACACGTTTCCTCTGCAGTTCACTGGTATGGTTATGTAACCTGATAATGTTTCTTCAGCAGTACACTAATGAGCTAGCAATCATATTCTGATGAGGGTAGAGGGATCTCTCGTTATATTTTTATCATTAATTGGATTAAGGTTTATGTAAACATTATATATGCTAAAATAAACATTAAAAAACTTTTTTAATGAATCTAGTGACGAAGCGTAAAGAAAATTAAAACCATCTGATGAGGAAATGAAATTTTGATCTTCAATTAATGATTATAAAATTGTTAAAGATGGAAAACTTTGAAAAGACCATGTTTATAAAAAATTAACACCTTGACAAATTGTTCGCTTATCATTAAAATAACATACAAAATATTTTTTGATTATTAAAAATTGGTGTAGTTTAAGTATTTAAAAAAATAATTATCGGAAGATTGGTTTCTTAATTTTGATCGAAACACGTTGATAAAGATATCTTAACTTCTGCTTGGAACCACCCAGAGCTGAAAACTTTAGAATGGGATATCTTTAATCCTGATTGGTTAATTAATCTGGAGATTAATAACAAAAGGAGAACAAGCATTATTTAATCTCCAGATTAAGAAAAAGAGTGGATCAAGCATTAATCCCGATATCCACCATTCTTAAGTTCCCAGCTCAGTTTGTTTAAAACTTTGAAATTTTGAAGATAAACGTTTTGAGGACTATTTGATCTACAGTACTTAAATTAATGGAAATTAATTCCTTGCGAAAGTATGGTTAAATGTTTCAAGATCCAATTTCTTCATTAAAATCTTGTTTTTAAATGCAATGAAGCATGGGTATGCCTATGTTTTATTAATGTAATTGATGAAATTGAATACTTTAAGTCCTATTAAAATATCTCATATGATTAAATATCTTAAACCACAATATTTTTGATTTAGATCTGATGGAAAATTAATGCCTGCTGAGCCTGCTAGGAGAGTTGTAATTCGTATAATATTTTGTCCACAAGGGTTTAGACTTTGTTATACGGCTAGTTCGTTTACTTTGAAGAATGAACTAAATTTATGGAGAAACCCAAAATACTTTTATAAGATTCGATGCTATTTAGTTTGAACTACTGCACTTTGAACTAATTACTTTGAACTATTGGTCGTTTGATATATTGTATATGGACCACGTGTAGTATTTCAAACGATATCGTTCTGTGAGCATTTGACCTTTTTTCCCCATTTGAAATATATTTTTCTTTTGTGCTATTATAAAAAATAGTTTAAAATGAACCAAAAAATAGTTCAAATGAACAAAAGCAAAAAATAGTTAAATGTGCCAAAATATAGTTCTAAGAACAAAAAATAGTTCAAATGTGCCAAAAAATAGTTCAAATGAGCCAAAAATAGTTGACTGAACACTCGAGCATTTTTTTAACATTTATTTTTAAATTGAAATTTTTTGAAACAAAATTTTAGAAAGAGCAGTGATTTTTTTTCTCTTGATGTTGAATCTTCTTTTTAACTGATCATACATCTTTTTTCTGTTCCTCTCATTTAAATCTACGCATTATAATAAGAAGTATTAAAAACATTAATCAAGTTCTTAAGGAAACGGTATATAATAATATTATTGTAGTTCATAAGGAAGAAGTATTAAGTAATGTTATTGTTGTTCATGAGGAAACGGCATTTCATATTATTATTGTAATTCATGTGGAAAAAGAATCTAATAATATATTATATTTCATGAGTAAAAAAGTATTTTATATTAATATTGTAGTTCATTAGGAAACAGTATTTAATAATAGTATTGTAGTTCATTAGGAAGAAGAACTTTATGATAATATTGAAGCTCATGAGGAACTATTTATAATATTATTGTAGTTCATGAGGAAGTATTTTATAATATTATTGCAGTTCATGGGGAAGAAGTATTAAATGATATTTTTGTAGTTTATGAGGAAGAAGTATTAAATAACATATTTGTAGTTCATGAGGAAAAAAGTATTTAATAATATTATTGTAGTTCATGAGGAAGAAGTATTTAATAACATTTTTGTAGTTCATGAGGAAGAAGTATTAAATAACACTATTGTAGTTCATGAGGAAGAAGTATTAAATAACATATTTGTAGTTTATGAGGAAGAAGTATTAAATAACAGTACTATTGTAATTCATGAGGAAGAAGTATTAAATAACACTATTGTAGTTCATGAGGAAGAAGTATTAAATAACATATTTGTAGTTTATGAGGAAGAAGTATTTAATAATATTATTGTAATTCATGAGGAACAATTATTTAATAACATTATTGTAGTTCATGAGGGAGAAGTATCTGTGTGCCTATGAACCTATGTTGGAGACTATAGCTGTATAGATTACACACACTTCCTAAAGAAAAAAACTTAAATGAAAGTCATTTTACACAATATTTTTGGGATTTAATTTTTTTCAAAATTCGAAGTTTCTACTAAGTTAATTCACAAATTGTGCTATAACTGATACAAGCGTGCTGTAAGTACAGCAAATGTACTTTACTGTGTTATATGTTTAATCTACTGCAAGTGTATATGTACTGTTAGTGTACTGACTACAAGTAAACTGTACCTGTATATAGATCTGCCCAGGCTAGTACATTACTTCCAAAGTATGATAATCGTGTACCAGCTCTGTAAAAATAGAAATTACAAAATGTCCCAAATAAACTGGTGAAGCTTTTTACTGCCTAAATCTATATATAAATTTAGCTTGTCTGTTTGTTTGTTTGTATCCAATAAACGTGAAAACGGTTGAACCGATCGGGCCCAAATTTTTTGTGGGACATCTCGTGACCACAGGGAAGGTTTATGAATAATAATAAAAAATGTGTTCTAAAGGTTTTTAATTTTGTAAAAAATTAAAATTCTTAAAAATCCGCAAAATGTTTTTTCTTCTTTGTTTTAAAATGTAAACAAAAAGAACATGTTCACAATTTAAATTGAAGCGCCCAAAAAACCTAGTATAATATACTCCAAACATAACACTATATCGACTGAAATTATGTATTAAAATAAATAAATAAATCCTACAATCCTAATTCTTACAAGAAAAAGACGATCTTGAATGTTGTCCCTCCTGTGCTTTGGTATTGGGAAACTTTTTCCGAGAAACCTTGTCCCAGATAATGAAAAGAGAAAGGACAAGTTGAAAACTTGAATTCCATTTTTGTTCTTGATTGGGATATAATACAAAGTAAAGTGTTACATTTTACAGGAAAGTTTTTCAGAGAAGAACATTTTGCCGTCTTGAGTTTGATAAGGGCATTTACACACTTGCTGATCTTTATTAATGTATTTGGATCGGAAAAACAAATTAAAATAATCAATTTTACGAACAAGTATTAATCGTTTGATAATTTAAAAGAAAGACGAAATTTGAGATAAGACAACTTTTTTGCGTTTTGTACCTTAAATAATCGATTTTAGTATAAATTACGCATTTACTTATATAATTAAATGATTTATAATGTTTTAAAATTGCTTTTATGTCTGAAATTGTGTTGAATTAAGGGGGGGGGGGGATTTTGTCGCAAGAGATGAACTGATGCAAGACCGTTGTCTCTTCAATATCACGTTTACATGGGACATAAATTCTTTAAGATTACTTTAAAAGAAAAAGATTCACCCAAAAACTGGCAAATACATCATAAGCAGGGAATTTCTTTTTCCTTTAAAAACTATACTTCTTGTACCTGAATATAGAACCAGTTTTAGCAAAGCTTCTATCCATTTTTTTTACTCCGTCCTTGATCCTTCTTCTGAACCCGTCCTGATCCTCTGGTTCAACCTGACCACATATTCTCTCCAGGTTCTGCAGCTGATTCATCAGTTCTCCTTGTTCCAGACCAACAGACATCTGTTCAAAACATTTTAGGTGTAAACTCAAATACGAGATTTCTCAACGGAAAGTGTTCCATTCTAGTTCTGGAACATATTCATATTCTAGTTCTGGAACTACGAGTAGTGTTCCTATACCTCATATTTTAGTTCTGGAATTACGTAAAGTATTCCTACACCTCATATTATAGTTCTGGAACAATGAATAGTGTTCCTATACCTCATATTTTAGTTCTGGAACAATGAATAGTGTTCCTTTACCTTAAATTCTAGTTCTGGAACTATGAGTAGTGTTCCTATATTTCATATTCTAGTTCTGGAACTATGAACAGTGTTCCTATACCTCATATTCTAGTTCTGGAACAATGAATAGTGTGCCTATACCTAATATTCTAGTTTTGGAACAATGAATAGTGTTCCTTTACCTTAAATTCTAGTTCTGAAACTATGAGTAGTGTTCCTATATCTCATATTCTAGTTCTGGAACTATGAACAGTGTTCCTATACCTCATATTCTAGTTCTGGAACAATGAATAGTGTTCCTTTACCTTAAATTCTAGTTCTGGAACTATGAGTAGTGTTCCTATACCTCATATTCCAGTTCTGGAACTATGAACAGTGTTCCTATATCTCATACTCTAGTTCTGGCACTGTGAGTAGTGTTTCTATACCTCATATTCTAGTTTTGGAACTATAAGTAGTGTTCCTATACCTCATATTCTAGTTCTGGAACTATGAACAGTGTTCCTATATCTCATACTCTCAATCTAGNTAGTGTTCCTATACCTCATATTCTAGTTCTGGAACTATGAACAGTGTTCCTATACCTCATATTCTAGTTCTGGAACTATGAGCAGTGTTCCTATACCTTATATTCTAGTTCTGGAACTATGAGTAGTGTTTTTATACCTCATATTCTAGTTCTGGAACTATGAGCAGTGTTCTCCATTCACTTAGTTTACGACATTTAACAACATCAGCGTGAAGATGATCTCCGCAGTACATTACATCAGGACCATCTGCTCCTAGTAGATTAGATACTGTATGGTGATCTCCCCCACTGTACACTACAGGTCTTTCATGTACAGGCTTACTGTTCAGATCAACCTTTTCACCTTAAAAATAAATTAAACCATATATTTTACCTTCAAAATTAAAGGAAACCAAATGTTTTAATTGAAATATATCAATTTTTAACTAAATGTTCTTATTGCAGATTTAATAAATACCTTTCTAAGTGTCTTTCAAAAAAAAACCTGTATATTTGTCCATCAAGCAAAAATACTTGTATCTGTGTCCATCAATCAATAAATACAAGTTTACGTGTCCATCAATCAATTAATACAAGTATATGTGTCCATCAATGTATCTCTGTCTATCAATCAGTAAATACCTGTATACGTGTCAATCAATCAATAAGGACCTGTATATGTATCCATCAATCAATTGATTCCTATATATGTGTCAATCAGTCAATAAAGACCATTATAAGTGTCTATCAATAAATACCTGCATACATGTATATCAATCAATAAAGACCTGTATATGTCCATCAATCAGTAAATATCTGTACCTGTGTCTATCAATCAATAAACACCTGCATATGTGTCAATCAATCAATAAGACCTGCATATGTGTCCATCAATCAATAAATTCCTGTATTTGTGTCTACCAGTCAATAAAGACCATTATAAGTGTCTATATCAATAAATACCTGTATATGTGTCTATTAATCAATAAATAACTGTCCATCAATCAATAAATACCGGTTTTTTCTCGAAATAAAATACCCCCCCCCCTTTTGAAAATCATTTTATATTCCTGGAAGCCTTGTATTATTTTAGGCTTTTATTATTCACTGAATTGGGAAAAACTGAAGTATTAAAAAGAATGANGGGGGGGGGGGGGGGTTGTAATTACAATAATATTCACCCCTAGTAAATACCTGTACACGTGTCCACCATCTTGAAATTAGTTCCCTTGTTGAAGAAGGTTGGTTTACAAGCATCAACAATAGTCAGGTCAAAGTAGTCCAACCAACTCTCTAATCAAATACAAGGTGAAAATAAACATGGAGATGTATCCAACTTCTTATCAAATACAGGGTGTACTAAATCACGGAAATATTTTGCCAATCTCTTATCAGATACAGAGCGTAAAAAAACGCGGAAAATAAAATAAGGACTATTGAGTCATTATAATCGTCGTGTCGTGTCTAGATAATAGGAACTATTTGCTTATCCTCGTACAAAATCACTTTAGTTATACATTTCAGCAATAATGAAGTGAATTTTAAGTTGCTCTAAAGCAATTAAGTAAAAAATTTCTGTTTTTAAACACAATTGCTGTGCTTCGAGTTCATTTTACTATTAAATGTCCTAACTTGAGTGTTATCACTGTATTTATGTGAGATCAAGGTTGTTTACTAAGGTAAGGTACTACGGATGCGCTCCAATGCACGGAAAATCTCGTCTCTATATCGTCAAAATCATCATAAGATGTAACTGTTTATTGGCGGAATATGAAGTGACAACGTTGCTGGTGAGAGGGGGGGAAGGGAATTTCCCTCTCGATTTTTACAGCTCACAAGCGGAGAAAATCCTTTCTCCTCTCACCAGAAACGTTGTCTGCACTTTATCTTACGCCAATATGAATAATCAGTTACGTCATTTAAGGATTTGAACCATTGATATGAAGACTACATTTTCTGTACATTGGAGCGCATCTAACCTTAATAAACAAACTTGGATAGATCAATTTAATCTAATATTTACCTTTTTCATTTGAATTGTTTTGAAGAAGAAAAGTCATGATATGATTGGTATACCACCAATCACTGTTTGTTAGTAAAAAGGTTTTTCTTCCGCTCTCTCTGATCCTTAAAATGTGTGTATATAATTGAAAGAGATGTTGTCTTTGTTATAATGGTTTGGACAGCTTGCAACTAAAACTACAAAGCTAGGACAAGAATGAATTTATTAAATATCTCTTTTATTTATGATATACTAGCTGAAGGGCCCGGCGTTGCCCGTGGAAAAAAATTATAGGTGTTATAGACTAAACAAAATGTTGATTTTTTAAGCCTATAACCAACATATATATACGAATGTCTTGTTTTATTATATATATAAAGTTGTTATCTCTTTTTGTTTGGTCGTATATGTTTGTATGTCAGATCCAAAGATAATATATATCATCTTTGGTCAGATCATAACTCACCCTATGGCCGATTTACCGCAAATTTTGATTGGAGAAAAACTCGGTAAAACCCCGGTCATGTTCTTAGATTTGTTTAAGAAATTTAAGTTGAGTGGGTTGACTTTAAAAGCGAAGGTTTAGGTTCCAAACAAAAAGCTTCAAGTTCCCTAGTTTTGTTTATTTATATTCATCTATAGTTTTAATAAACTTCTTACATTTTTAGAGATGACATGGTAGGAAAAGGAGAAGGACTAAATTTTCCTTGATTTTTGAAACGACAACTCACTTTCTCAAGTATGATCTTGAAACAGTAGTCAAGAATGAAAGCTACAAAATTATATAAAAGATAATAAACATCAAACCATTTTTCTATCGTATTATTATTTGAGAAACCTGAGGCCGAATTTAAAGAATTTTAGCGGCGGCTTAAACATAAGCCAGGGCGCAAATATCGTTGGTTTCACTTAAAATTGTATTCAATGTTTAAAGATTTAAGCCGGCGCTCAATTGAAACCGGTTTTTGGCGGATTTAAGACGCGGCTCAAATTCATTAATTCGGACACTGAATGTAATACTTGTAATTTGTAAATATTGTTGTACTCCCTGAACAAATTATTTGAATGAATATTAATACCTTGTAAGTACTCCAATCAATCGTTCATCTTTTTTAATATATTTTTCCAGGTTTTCAACCGTTTTTTGCTTCAGTAGTTTCTCATCATGTAGATAATCAATTGAGCCGCGAACATCCTAATAAAAACAGTAAAGATTTTTGCTAGCGTCTTTATGTCATTGCCTAAATAGACCTTGAAAATAAAATTTGTTTTATGCTCATTTACTAATGAAAAAAATTCAAAAAGAAAAAGTCAAAACAGAAAATGGCGTGGCGATGATTTACCGTTTCACATACAATGAAACCCTTAATAACGAATACATAGGAAGAATTTATCAAATGTCGTCTTGACAATTTTTCAATGAGTTTTATACTATATATTTCGTAAATTTCAGTATTTGCGAAAATAAATAAATAGCCATGAAGATGTTCCATATAATCATTTAATTAAAAAACTAAATATCTGCAACATTCCATTATCAGAAAGTGAAGAAAACGACATTTGATGAATTCTTTCTATGTATTCGTTATTAAGGGGTTCACTGTATGTAAATCAGGATAATAATAACTATTTGAAAACTAGTTTTGATTTAAAGAAAACATCATTTCCTCCTAATTAGAGATTTCCTAGGATCGTGTAGGCCTTAAATATTTCTGTTAGATCAAATAATCGAAGTTTGAAAAATCAAAGGTTTGCATGATCAGGTTGTGAATATTTGAGATTTTGGTAAAGAAAATGAGCTTTTGCCACAAACTCTAATTTTTAAATCTCTATATCTTTGCAACTCGATGTCGTCTACCTTTGATATTTCAGTCAATGAATTCTATTAAATCAAATAGTGTAAGATTTAAATATCAAAGATTTACACCAACAAATTGCGAAGATATAAGGTTTTATTGATTAATTTAACATATTTTACCTCAAACATTTGTTTAAATGTTTTTAATTTCTTCTCTGATCCCAACAACCAACCTTCTGTGGTAACCATTGCATCTTCCCTGTATAGTTCGGAAATAATAAAAAAATCAAAATTATGAAAAAGATTAAAACAAATATTGTTAAAAGGACTGTAAAGTTTTGTTTGAACAGGAACCAATTAGAGCTGCATTACATGTATTTAAATAATTAATACATACATACATAATTAATACATAAATAAAGATTTTAAGTGCAGCGGCGTGAATCGGACATGGCTCTTTTTTTCAACATTTTAGACATAATTGAATTGAGCTAAAGTTTATTTTAAAATATAAATATATTTAACAAACATTGTATTTCAAATAGGACATTTATAGAAATAAACAAATTAGAAAAATGATAATTATCATCATTACCTGTTATCCATATAATGTACAATGCTGGCAAGAAGATGGGTTTCGGCAATATTAAATAAAGTGTTCATTATATAAATCCTTTTCTCTTCTTTTCTCTGGATCTTATGCGGGTACAATTTCCTGGATATACAATAAGAATGTGAAATATAAATCAAATATTTTTAGTAAATATAGCAGAATATTTACACAACAGAATATTGAAATTCATTGAAATATATTTTTTTCAGAGGCTGAATTTAAAGAATATGAGCCGCGGCTTAAATTTGATACGCGGCTCAAATATGGTTGGTTTAAATTAAAATTCTATTCAATGTTTCTAAATTTTAAACCGACGCTCAATTGAAACCAGTTTTTGGCGGATTTGAGACTCGGCTCAAATTCATTAAATTCGGACTCAGGATAACATTAAAATATAAATTCATAGACCTTTTTTATTTACAATGTTTAAGTGTAATAAATTATACAGTGGTAACCATTTAACATAGAGTTTGTTTCTTTTTGGAAGAATCGTAGCGAAGAGTTTTGTAATTTGCAATTAAAGATATATCAGATAACATTTGAAGACAGATTAAAAATTCTTGGTGTCAGTGATAAATGACAAAGACGACAGTTATTCCTCTATTTTATGCAAATCTTCTATTTACCTAAGTTCTTCTCCCTCTAATAGCCTGAACCCATGACAGCACATCAGAATACGACCAAACTGGTCAACCTGGACCAAGTAGAATTAATGCAGATTATTCATGCTCAAAAACAAGGTTATATATAAAGCTAGATACTGTTGAAAAATTGAAATTTTAATTTAAGTTTCCAATTTTTGAGTTCGTTTATATGTATTTAGGGAGCCGCAAAATTTACTTTTCTTTAAAATAAGCAGTAACGTCATGTTGGATATTATAGAGTGCCATTGGTATAAAAGTTGTCTTTACCTACATTGGAGCGAATCCAGAGTATTAGCCTTAATATACAACCTTGCTCAAAACATTTGTACAAAGATGTGTCCCACCAGACATGACATTTAAAAGACGACTTAAAAGGTCGTCTTTAACATTTTAAATAATTTTAAGTATCCATTCATCAGCCAAACTCTTAAAACGATGATTAACAATACTTCTGGTTTGACATTTATAAAGTCATCAGCCTTTTTGTGCTCTCAAAATTACGGAAGATGTGAAGAATTTCAATTAAATAAATCGATCTTCAAACCACATTTTAACTGCCATGTTTTGTGAAATACCCTGTGGTTACTAAGCAAGATTCTATGCGAACTTAACGAAGACTTTGAAGGGTCGTCTTTTCTTGGTGGAACACAACTATTTAGATAGACATATATATATCTTAAATCTTAACTATTTAGATAGACACATATATATCTTAAATCCTAACTATTTATGAATGAAAGATTTGAATATTATTTGTATTGGAGAGGGAAACTTACGGAAACATAGTGTAAGCTGTTAAGTTCTAATTTTTGTTCTGTAACCATTTTTCTTACCTTTAGAAGGTTTCCGTGCTCCTTGTCGAACCATAGACCCCTGCAGGGGAACTCCGGGTTGTACTCCAGCTTCAGGATCTCCTGGGGGTAGGAGAAGGAGGAGACGAGGAACTCCTTCGCCAGGTTGAACGCCAGGATATCAAACTCCGGGGAGATATACTCGCAGAGGGTGTAGTCCATGTCAAACCCATAAAACTGAATCTAAACCAATTATTTGTTTTACTTCAGATTTTGTTCCGACCATTTTAATTTCTATTCTTTTTTATGACTCTCTATTTTTCCCTCAGAATGATTATTATTTAACTTTATTTCATCCTTTTTTGTAATCCTGCATTTTCATTTTTACTTTGTTTTCTAGTTTTCTTTCATTCAACCTTTCATTTCTTTCCCTTTTTTGACTCATTTATCTTTTCATTTCTTTCTGTTTTTTGACTCATTTATCCTTTCATTTCTTTCTGTTTTTTTACTCATTTATCCTTCGTTTCTTTCTCTTTTCTAGTTCCACTTTTGCCTTTTATTTCTTCTTAAATGGACTGCGAAGGAAAATGAAACCTGAGAATCTCAGGCTTTAAACGATACATATAAACATCTATCTGATGTTTCTGTCTCGAGAAATTGATATAAACGGTGTCAAATTTATACGAAAATTCATAAAAATTCAATTTTGTATAAAAGTTGTAGTATTAAACAGATCATATTCAACAAATACGCAACCAATCTGAAAACGACTCTATCCCACAGGAGCCTGAGAATCTCATGTTTGCTCCTATAATAATTTTTTAACTTTTATTTTGCATTTTTAATAGATATAATTGATAATATCATTACATCGGTTTCATCCTATACCTCCTTTAATTTTTACTTTACAGCCCCTTTAAAGTTCATTTTTATCGACTTTGCAATCTTTTTTATCCTTAACAAAGTTGGAAAAAGATCCAAAAACTATAATTTTAACACGATCGTTTTTATGATATATTTTCTCTCATCGAGTAAAAATTTGGCAGAGTGTGAAGAAAGAAAATTTTTAGGATGAACAATCTTAAAAACATTTTCAATTTTTACACTATCCCAAATGTTGATCTTTTAAATATATATTAAAAAAGTCTTGCATTCTGTAATAATCTATTATTTTCTGTCAAACTTTCTTCCATTTATTCTTAAATGGATTTTTCTTTTCATTTTTCAACTCTCCTTCCATTATTATTTGATCATTCTTTCTCTATTTTATTTTCATTTTTGAGAAATAAAAAATACCTTTTCCAGATGAATTCCTCGATTGTCAAAAATTTTCGATTGCTTTAGAATAGGAGACGACCTTAACAACAGAAACTTAATAATTTTTCAAAGGAATTGAGTTTCTGTCACAAATTCCAATTTTGTAATACCTAAATTTCAACAACCAGATGATGCATACCTTTCATATTTCAAACTTACATTGTTTGATCCACCAGAATTCATAGTTTGAAATATCTAGCATCTACGACATTTGGTTTTAAAGAAATTGGGATTTAAAAATCCGAGTTTGTGGCAAAGACTCAATTCCTTTAAAAATAATTTAGAGAAATTCTTCACCTGTCTGCTAAATCCTGAAGACTGTCATCGCTACCATAACCAATAGAACCTCCATCTTGAAAAGCCATATTTGAAAATTTTCTAAAAAACTATTAAACTTTGTAAATCTTACTAAGCTTTTTTTTGTCGCTGTTGAATATATGTATTGATATCCTTATCATTTTTGCGGGTGTCCCAAAAACAATTGGAGCTCAATGACAAAAATTTAAACTCGTCATTTCTGCGCGGCCTACATTTGTAGAAAGAATATTTTAACTTTAACATTTTTTTAACGGCACTTTTAAAAATGTTGTCGTATATTACAGTTTTTAGAACCATCTTTACTTTTTACATTAAAAAATACCATAAGAAAACACTTTTTGTTGCCTGATTAAATAAATAAATATTGTTATCAAGTTCTTAAACTGCATCTGTGACAGATCATTTATTTTCTGCGTGCCAAGCCAGAACAACTTGGAGATCTTCTTATAACACAATATTTGATTCTACAGATTTTCTACAGAATCAGTAATCGAACTTAATGAATTTGAGCTACTTCTCTGAACTAGCAATTCTGCTGGTTCAAATTTGAACCACCGATTCAAAGTTTAAGATTAAGGAAGGATTGGAATCGATGATTCAAATTCAATAAATTCTGTCTCTTTTTAAATCAATTTAACCCTTTGATCTTCAGAATGGATCCATTATCATAGAATTAATCCTTTAATCTACAGGATGGATCCATTATCATGAGACTAATCCATCAATCTACAGGATTGATCCATTATAATGAGATTAATCCATTAATCTACAGGATTTATCCATTATCATGAGATTAATTCATTAATTTACAGGATGGATTCATTGTTATGAGATTAATCCATTAATCTAAAGGATGGATCCATTATCATTAGATTAATCTATCAATCTACGGGATGGAGCCATTATCATGAGATTCATCCATCAATCTACAGGATGGATCCATTATCATGAGATTAATCCATTAATCTACAGGATGGATCCATTATCAAGAAATTAATCCATCAATCTACAGGATGGATCCATTATAATGAGATTAATCTATCAATCTACAGGATGGATCCATTATCATGAGATTAATCTATCAATCTACAGGATGGATCCATTATCATGAGACTAATCCATCCATCTACAGGATGGATCCATTATAATGAGATTAATCTATCAATCTACAGGATGGATCCATTATCATGAGATTAATCCTTCAATATATAGGATTGATCCATCATTATTAGATTAAGATTAAGAATGAAATTAAGAAATATGAGATGAATCCTTCAAGCTTATCCAGCACTGATACCTTGCATGTTGTACGACTGAAAGTCTGTCTTAAAATATCAAAATATAGTTTTATCCAAAAAATAGATAAAGATAATCTTATCTTATTAGAAGATCTTATAAAACTGTTTACGAAATCCTATTTATATCGTTGAAAGGAAAATCTTGTATATGTGGTTAGTTATGGGAAAATGCAAAATGATAAGTAAGACAATTTTCCTGCAGTATTTAAACTTTAAGCAAGTGTTGGGGTAATTTGAAAGAGGATGATCCATAATCAAATTATAAATCGATTATTACTATTTTTTACTGTTCAAAAAACATCTAATGAAACTTAAATGAAAATGTGTCTAAACCTTGTCAAATACATAAATCAAGATGTCTGGATCTCTGTGATAATACGAACACTCCCTTTAAAGGGAGAAGTTGCAAACTTTGAAAGTTGTTTAGGAGTTATTTTTCTCTCAGAATAATCTAGTTCTTAACACATACCACTAAAGTTTCAGTAGAAGAAAATATTTCCATTTAGTGTATGGCGCCGATTTAAGAATTTATCTCTAATTGGTTGATGAGATAGATAGAATATATCTAATATAAATATCCAAATATATCTGTTTTCCATGATTCCATCATGTTATCACTATTCAAGAGAACGCCGGGCAACTAAATGCAACTCTTCCCTGCATTTTTATAGAACTAACAACTAATGGACTTTGTATATTTAAGTACAAACTTAAATTTGTCTTTGTTTCCCGTTTGTCTAAGATAGTAAAATTTACAAGCAAAACTAAAACAAAGAGTTTCAATGATAAAACATTTAAAAAGAAAATAAATACTTCACACCTTGTTTTTACATACAGTGTTACTCACAAAGAATGTGAGATTAATGACCACCTGGAACTCTATAAATACCACAAACTGAGGGTTAAACTTGGATACAATTTCTCTTTAAAAAAATTAAAAGACATCCAGAAAAAAGATGGATAACTCTTAAAACTTTTTTAATGTCGTTAAATATTTCTTAATTTGTAATTGAATTATTTTTTAAAAAAATATTTAAAAATGAAAAAATGAAAACGACAATTTTTCCATAGATCTTTGACTTCCACGTTGCATGCCAGTAAAAAAATTGAGATCGCCTACAAATGATGCGATTGTAAAGACGACCTGAAACTCTTACAATAAGTCTTTTGCCTTAAATATAGTTTTATAATTGCACACGTTTACAATTGCAGGAAATCATAGATATAAGGAAGCTGACCGTACAAATTAAAGTTCTCTTTTAAGTCTAATATTTTATGGGTAACCCTGTTCTATATAGAAGTCACTTCATTGTGTAAATTCAACATTTTTTTTACACATTTTCAAATTAAATCTATTTCTAGCAACAGCTTATACCAATACTCCAATTCCAATTCCCAACACATCCTAATGCCCCCCTCCCCACTACCCCTCCCAACACATCCTATCGCCCACCCACTATTTCTCACAACATATCCTATCGCCCCCCAACTACCCCTCCCAACACATCCTATCGCCCCGCTCTACCCCTCCCAACACATCCTATCGCCCCCACCACTACCCCTCCCAACACATCCTATCGCCCCCCTCTACCCCTCCCAACACATCCTATCGCCCCCACCACTACCCCTCCCAACACATCCTATCGCCCCCCACTACCCCTCCTTTTGCCACAATAATTGTATAAAGCCCCTTCCCTCCTGTAACAATTTCTTATAATTTCTTCAGAAGTTTTGAATGGCTCTGAGCGAAGTCAAATTTGAAATAGTCGGTTTTATTTCGCTGTTCAGACAAAGTCTTAAAGGGACCAACAGACGTAATTCACATACATGCATTCACAACAGTACAAGCTTTGTCTGATCATGAATAAACTTGATATCCATGTTTTTCTGTTTGAAAATTTTCAATATATTCAATTGGAGTTTCTATATAAAAGTGATTTATGAATTTCTGTTGTAAAAACAGTTACCACATTTTAGAACAGATAAAGGGCACCATTGTAAATAATGCTTACCCCTTTATTTAAAATTACGCCTACAGTCCCTTTAAACCAAGTTATACGGTTAAACTAGGATTTTTAAGAATCAATGTTTAAATTGAAGTTATACAAATAGATCAACTTCAGTTCAGGTTCAAAAAATTATTTTTTATTTGTGAACTTTACTTTGTACTTTTTGATCAGCATCCTTGGTATTTATTAGACTTATATAACTATTTATGAGTGTGGTGGTCTAATTTCAGTTTTGATATAAGAGGGGGGACGGGAGGGGGGTGGGTGTAATTACATTCATAGTCAAATACCTTTGGTACTAGTTGTGTCTTAGAAATTGTATGAGATTTTGTAAAGCTATTTTAAAAATTATAAAAATTTATTCACAGATAATAATACACACACATATATCAATTGTTTAGTTTGAAATTAAAATTAAGAACACATCACAACACAGTATTCATGATTTAATAAAAGACGAAAACGTCATCAAGCAGTAGTTCTTTATTTTCCAGTTTACAATGTTGAAAATTATTTCCAATTGGTATTTGCTCCTGGTAACAACTACAGCAATTTTAGGGTATTCTACTTTACAATGTTTTCAAGGATAACAGGAATACAGCTTAGCGTTTTGTAATTACACACCCAGTCTTGGTTCTTGTACATTGTTTCTCAAAATCATTTGAATTTTAACGTAAACTTTGAACTAAAGATATTATTACAACTCAGTTCTATTAACACGTTACAATATAAAATTAAACTGGAAATTTTATAAGACATAAAATAGCAGTAGATAGTATAATTTAAGTCGCCTTGAACTTTTATTTTTTGATTTGATTTGATTTGATTTACTTGATTTCAATATTATTCCCGGTAATTTTATGATGTTTTTAAAACAACACTAACACCGTTTTATTTAAACACCCTGTATATTCTGTACATCTATCTTTTGTTCTTGAATTCTTAAATAAATATTTGTTTTTGATTAAAAGACCGCGATTCCTTTAAGCGTTCTTTTATATTGAATTATTTCAATTCCAACACGCATACAAGCATGGCATACATAACTTTTTATTTAGCATGACACAAAAAAAATACATTGCACATGAAATATTTTGATTAAAAGCGAATTTCTAGTTTTTTGCAAGATTTCGTTTTGGTCAAAACTTTCTGTGTCATTTTCCTTTATCCAACAATAATTTTTTTCTAGATCAATTTGGGTGCGTAATATCTTTTTATGTTTTAATCCTAAACTTTCAAAATCTTAAAACTTTAGATTTGCTTAATTCCACATTTAAAAGCTTCACATAAGATGTTCACACATCACACATTTTCTGGAACCTAGCTGATCAAAAACATTAAGATTATTAGATTTAACAGAAATTATAGTTTGAAAAAACTAAGGTCTACACCACACACCGGACTAACCAGAGTGAGCAGCATTCGGTTTCTTCTACTTTAAATCAAACGTGTTTTGGTCTTTAATTCAATAATCATTTGTTTTACAGATTTGTTTCTTTTATACATTTACAAAAAAGTATTTAAAAAAAGGCTAACAAATTATGTTTAATGGGTCAAATTGTGATCGAAAGTCACAGCTTTCTCGAATATTGACAACCGTTAAATCAACGTGACCACCAGGTTGCAAAGATATAGGAATTACTCAGAGTTTGTGGCAAAGATTCAATTTCTATGGCTTTTCTTCAAATTAACTTCCTTTCTTTTTTTCTTCATACAATCTGAACTCTTTTTTTTCTAGATCTTCTCTGACCCGGAAATGTGAAATAGGAACCTGAAGACGACA